TACTGTAATTTGTTCATAAATTTTGGAGTAAAACGGACCTAATTTTTGTATTGACGACAGTATTTTTTTTTTTTTTTAAATTATGCATGTTTATCATGTGAATGTTAACAAAAGTTGACTTTAGCGTTTAAAGGGTATGCCTTATTTGCTCTATCTGTAATGCATATATTTAGTTATTCAACACTAAAATGAACTACAGTGAGTTGTTCTGTGGTAATATAACAATAAAAATAAAGGTAATATAAAATAAAATAAACTACACTAAGATACAGTAAAGTTAATCAACTACACAGAATGCTAAATAATATTACAAACATGCAAAGGATCCTAATAAACTTATAAGGTACAATACAATACACTAGCTAATATAAGGTAAAAAAAAAAAAAAAAATCACATTAGAGTCATAATTATGGTGGAAAGAATATTTTAAATTTTGGTGGAGTTGCTCACATCTCATTTGCATACATTTTTGTATGTATTGTGCAGTTCTTATTCCTGAACAATATTTCATAATTGCATTGAATTTTCCTTACTAAAATTTAGTATAATTTCCTTGCAGTGCTTGAATAATTCAATTCTGTGTGTATTGTACAGACTGCAGTCCATAAGAAAATGCATCTCATCTTCAATCTGCTTTTTATCACAGTATTTGCATACTCTTTCATTCCTTGGAGTTTTAAAATACCTATGCTTGCGTAAATGACAGATGCGAGTCTGTAGTCAACATACAATTAATGCGATTTTTGGCTTACTTGCAATTCTATTGGAGATGTACTCCTAATAGAGTAAATGGGGGATGCCTTGAGAATGCCAATGATCAAACCCAGATATGAATTTGTAACTCAATATTCCTGTTTGTGTTTCAGTACCCACGTATTGATACTGGTCAGTTAGACAAACAAATCAAAGGTATTATGCAAGAGGTGATACCATATCTGAAAGAACACATGGACGATGTGTGTTCACCACAATTGCTGGCTTACATAAGAAGATTAGTGCTGACGTTGACAAGACAGAGAGGAGACAGCCAGGAGTTTGTACGCTTCTTTAATAAGCAGCTTGGATCGATCTTGCAAGATTCGTTGGCCAAGTTTGCTGGTAGAAAGTAAGTATTTTGTCCTAGTGTAGCCCTGTAATAGTGTTAGCCGTACAACTAGCTATGTTACTAGAAAGTTTGCCTTATAATCCCACCACCAATAGTAGTAAGAAGGGTTTGAAATACACCAAACTGCCATTTTATGTAAACAGGTCATCAATGTAAGCAAAAATAATACAGTATGTAATTATTAAGTCATTGAAGTTGTCCCTCAAATCTTTAGGCAAGACATCCACATAATCTGTAACAAAATTGAATTTTGTCTGCTCCTAAATAGTAAACAGAATCCGGGATTATTTTTCAAAAAATGCATACAAGTGTATAAAGCCAAATGGGAAAATTATCTTCCACAAAATAAATATATGTATAAATTCACATCCTGCATTTTGAAATGTACAAGAGGTTAATCAGCTAGCTATTTTTTGCACCTGGCCTAAATAGTATATCTGAATTGTGTCTCGACACCCCAGAATGTGTTATATGCTTGACACTGATTACCTGTGCATCCAGCTTTGTTGATTCTAATAACTAATATCTCTGCTGTACTTTGTAGAATGAGGGAGTGCGGAGAAGACTTACTGGTTGATGTATCTGAGATTTTATTCAATGAGTTGGCATTCTTTAGATTAATGCAAGATTTAGACAGTGCTGGTGCTGGTAGTGCACCTAAGAGGAAATATGACAGTGAAACTACCGGCACTGACACCACAACTGGGCAAGAAGGTTTGGCTGAAGGTGATTTGTTTACTCTACTCAGCATGGCTTTGACTTCCCCATCAGGCATGTTTTTATTGTCTTTGTCTTTTGTGTGTAAAATCTCTATAATTTTGCATGTTGTAATTCTCTCTGTAACTTAACCAATAACTTTAAAGTAATCTATCAGTAACATAATCAAATGTCAGTTACTCAATGTTAAAAATGTTAATATTCATTCTCGTATTTTTGTTCACTCAAAGTTTCTGATTGTATGTTAATCTAATACTAATATTTACTGTCATCGCCGTATTGTTCCGAACACCAAAACAGCAACATTGCCTGCTAAGTCGCTGTATGGTTTGCTATACTTGCCTCAAAATCATTGCATGATTAGAACTGGTTAGATCAAACTATTGTTTTTGACGATGCGATGTTTGGCTAAATGCACGCATTTTACAGTGTTATGCCCTGCATTGAACACTCCTGTTAATGTGTCCTGACTTTTCAGGCTGTGTCAGTAAATACATTTTGTTTGGATACCTTTGCTATGTATCATATAACAATTTATGCAATTGGATGCAGTGAATTTTAAGGTAATTTCAGTTTGAATCCCTCACCATTATTTGGTTTAACCCAAATTGTTCCAATCGTATAAAAATCATGAGATGCGCATAGCAAATCTCTCGGCAACTTAGCTGGCAATGTTGTTGTTTTGGTGTTCAAAACAATAAGTTATTGACAGTAAAATGTATTTAATTTTAGCGTAATTAAACAACGTATTTGACCTTTGTATGTTGTGTTGTGTGGGACGGGACCCATGTCAAATGTGTGTGGCCATCTCTTTGAAATCTGCATGTATCAACTAACAAATCTTTATATGTGTGGTGACCATATTTTGTCTACAGTACACTGCATTTGATTGTTTCCAAAATCCTGGGCTCTTATTTCGAAATAAGATTGCACAACTTCTGGCATTTTCGCCACTGTCATTCACATAACAATAAAATCAGTGGCTTGCTGTAATCAAAATAGCACCACATGAGGGGAACTGATACAAGTTAGACACTAAAGCGGCATTTTTTGAATGTCTCTGTAGGCGAGAGCTCATCAGACGAGGACGAAGAGGATGACGATGAAGATAGCAGTGATGAAGAGTCTGACACTGGATCCAGTGAAGGTGATGAAGAACTACAGGATGTAGAAACAGCCATGGCTATTACTCCCGCTGAAGAAGAAGAACTAGGAAAAGTAGGAAATGTATATTAATTATTTTATTATATCTTTTCCCTTACAATGTCCTCCATTGCTGCTGTGTATGAATGAGTGTTGTGAAAGTGACTTCCTTGTTGTTCCCGTTGTGATATGCAATCTAAATTTATACCTCAACATACACCAGAATTGCCCTAACTTCAGATTTTTTTCATTCCAATTTTGTGCATTCAGTTTTCAACTTCCGTAAACTGCTGTATTTTCTGTTTGATTGCTTATTTCAGTCAACTATGAATGCGAGTCAGTCATTTGTCAATCTGTGGTTGTAAATAGTTGTACTAGATTTGAATCACCATGGTTAGGGTTTTGAAGGTGCATAGTCATAACAAATAAATAAATCAAACCACACAGTAAAAATATTTTCCATATCTGACAAGTACTGCATTCTTTTTGTTAGTTGATTAGTGAATCATTTCACCACAGGAATTGGATTGCTTTATGAAAAATCATAAATATTCTTAAATTCATATGTTACTGTAACATTCACTTTATATTATTAAGCAAGATAATTTACCTTTTTGAGCATTTAGAATTAGTGTTCGGTATTGGTGGTGAAAGTGACAATTTGTAGTAGCCAAATCTGAATTGTAGTTTTCCATTTGTAACTGATGCATCCTGGTATTCATGATAATATTTTCCCTATTTGTATAACCTTACAGGCACGTGATGATGCAATGGCAGCAAACATAGAAATCAATAGTGAGAGAGATGAGTGAGTAGTAACTTTTACTGCATTAGTTGCAACTTTCATATAAATCATGTATTCTTTGCAAATGAACCCTTTGAACAATTGAATGAC